CCAAAACAAATCACACCACTTGAGGATTTTAAACTAAAAGTGAGCCCATGGAGAGTAATGAAAAAATCACTTTTTCTCTAATTAAATTAGAGGCATCAACCATTCAAGGGCCTGACAGTACTTCTGTAGCAGCACTGACTTAACATTAAGCAAATGCTGATTGCTTCCTGCTTAAGGCAGCCCAGGGTTGCTTTGTAAATGTCTGTGCACTGATCTATGGTGGTCGGTTACCTTCAACAAACGAACAAATGCATTTCAAAACAATTTCAACAAAGTATAAATGTTAGGTCAAGGTAGCAGTCATTTGATAATCTGAACGGCTTAATCAGCAAGTGCTCCACTGAAGCACAGGAAGTTGTTCTGCAGATTTAAGAGGTCAGAGAGACAGATTTACTACATATACACAGGAACAACCAAATCTGGGGCTGGGGTGAGACAAGACAATTCTGCCGCCTTACCGTTGAGCTATTTATCTGATGACCCACTAAAAAAAGAAACGAATAGACTTATGAATCATAAAATGATACTGACAGCAGTGGATGATAAAATTCATGACTCAGGCTACTAAGATTACCATGTTCCAAATTATACTGCTTGCATTTCTTTTATTTATTCCTTTGCAGCTAGTATAATTTGTAGTTACCATCAATTAGATGGCAGTCATAAACGCAACTTCTCAAAGATAAAAAATGAATCGTGATGTTGAGGCAAAAAGCAAATAAGAATGCCAAAAGGTTAACTTTATAAACGCCCTGAGGCATAGTATTAAGATATTAACGCAACATTCCAATCTGTCAGTACACTCTGACTAGAAAATGTTTTACAGGAAAGGCACGGACCTGTTGGTGCGGATCCAGAGGAGGCCACAGAAAAGATCAGAGGGATGTAACACCTCCCCTGTGAGGACAGGCAGGGAGAGTTGGGGCTGTTCAGCCTGGAGAAGAGAAGGCTCTGGGGAGACCTTAGAGCGGCCTTCCAGTACTTAAAGGCAGCTTATAAGAAAGATGGGGGCAATCTTTTTAGCAGGGTCTGTTGTGATAGAACAAGGAGTAACGGTTTCAAACTAAGAGGGCAGATTTAGACTGGATATAAGGAAGAAATTTCTTACAATGAGGGTGGTGGAACACTGGCAGAGGCTGCCCAGAGAGGTGGTAGAAGCCCCATCCCTGGAAACATTCAAGGTCAGGTTGGATGGGGCTCTGAGCAACCTGATCCAGCTAAAGATGTCCCTGATCACTGGAGGGGGGTTAGACTAGACGACCTTTAAAGGTCCCTTCCAACCCAAACCATTCTATGATTCTGTAATAAATTGAAATGTATCTAGATGCTACAAAATTCAGTATGCGAGTACAAGAATGAACATTTCACCAAAAATTTTCCACAAATATGCAGAGAAAACAGGTAGCCACAGTAGTCAATCCTTGGGCCAATGGAGAAGTTAAAACCAGACAAACAAAAGGTTCCAACTAGGTTACAAGAAAAAAAAAAAGAGACGGAAAAAAACAACTTTACAAAGGAAAGGTGACAGATGGAAGAACAAATTAACAGATCCACCTCTTCCTGGCATGGACAGAGGATAGAACAGACAGGACAGAGGATATTCTATTCTATGAAAATTACAGGCAGATTGATGAGCTTCCAACAACTACACACCTGCAACATCAACATTGGCAACAACCAGCCTTCAAAAAGAGGTTGCATTGCTTTTGTGGAATCATCATTTTGACAGTTATCTTAAATTAGGAGAAGGAAGAAAATGGAACAGATCTGCACTTCCCAACTGCAGACTTCAACTTTAAACAAAGTCCTATGAGGGGGGAAAAAAATTGTTTTTCAAATAAAATCACTTCCAATTCCAGCAGCCTCCACCTGCATTTCCCGATATCACGGTCAGCAGGCTCTTACGTTGGAGTATTCATCCAGCTTTCATCACAGTAGCTGGACCAAAGCATCTTAAGCCTATTGGGTCCAAACGAATTCTCCTTGTTTCTTTTCTGAGGGAGACTGAATCAATTCTGTAAACTGAGACACTTGTACATGAAGAAACCTCTGAGTTGTGCTGGCTATACACACGCTGTACGTGACTTCTACACTGCACAAGGCTTCTGGTGTGTTTGTTCGGTGTTTCAGCTGGCAGGACTTGCACAGCTTGCAATTTACCACAGTTCATGCAAACACAGCATAAAAATTTGAAGTGTGCTAATTACCACTTAAAATCCTTCTATTGAACCTCAAGACACTCAAAAAGACCATCTACTGGGTACGTAACTTTTATGTTCTCCTTCAGGAATTGCTCCGGTGTGTACTCTAGTCCTGCCTTGTCAGGGCAAGGTAGGGGAGGAGGCAATAACTTAACCCACCACAGGGTCCACGCAAAAAATACATGTTTCAAGACAACTGCTGCAGGAACTGCAAGTGAAGTGTGGCATGGTGAATAACCTTAGTGCCTGCCAGCACACACCCAGAAATCCGAGGGAAGATTTCACCAGTGTTTTAAATCATACAAATGAAGAGCTGGCTCTCAAACATCCACCATGATCTAGAAAGCAATCAACTTGCAAGCTACAAGACTCCTGATTTGAAATCAGGATGAATTCACAACAATTTCCTTGTAAGTTGGGGAAATGAAGTGACTGCAGATGAAATAAATCTTTGCCCATTTAGGGGAAGTCCTTGAGGCAGTTGCCTATGAAGGAATATAATTTAAACCACAGGCTATACACACTTGCAGCCACCATCAGGAAAAAAAATTGTGAAAATCCTAATGAGTGCTGGTAAGAAGGACTCTGTACTATCAGGAAGCTATTTTGAAGTACAAAAAACCCCCACCCTTCTCTAAACTGCACAGGCAGAAGCATTGAATACTAATGGAGCAAGCAGCAAACTACGTGGAAAGATGTAGTAACGTCATTATGGATGTCAGGGTGGGCATAAAGATTAAGAGGCAGTGAACAGAGCAGCAGGAGTCTCCAGAAGTGAATGGAGGTGCAGCATTCAGAAAGGAGGAGTAGTTCCCACAGCTCCACCCAAACCATGGAGATAATGTTGATGCTTTCCCAGTCTGCTGAAAGAACGCCTCTTCCCAAAGAAAACCAGCCCTATCGCCAGTCTGCAGGCTGCAGGTTAGGTAGAGCCAGGGGAAGTGAATTGTTTGCAAGTGTCTGAAGAAAGCATCTCCTCTTAGGTGGCTTCGTTACCAGATCTACAGCCTAGGAGGAGGCTGTAGTAGGTATGATGTCCTGAGCAAAAGCCGAGACTGATACCGACACAGGGCTGGTGGACACCTCAGTGAGGAGCGCAGAGAGAGCACAAATCTGAGCAAGTAACAGAGATAATAGGCCTCATGGAAGGAAGCTGTCAGCACCAAGGCCTGGAACTGCAGGCTCGCCATGAGAGGCCACCAGAAGATACGAAAGCCTTGGGCCCATGACAGCAACTGAACTCCTTACTTCCCAGAGAAGCAGTACTCAGCCCTGAAGGTCCCCCACCGACCTGATCTGTGCAAGGACACTGCTCAAAACTGCAGGATGGTGATACCAAGGAAGAGTGAAGTACATTTCATTTGGGCTTCCTAGAAGCAGCAGCAAGCGAGTAAGGAGACAGACCGTTCCTACAGGATCATTTCAACCTCCCTCCTCTATCCTCCAAGTACCCACCTTCTAGCCAGAAGAGATGCTGTTGAACAAGGTGTGTCTCAAACTGAACAGCAGGCTGTCCATGACCATGGGTTAGCATTCAGCTTTGGCAGGATAGATGTGCAACGCGACACTGAACCAATCTATTTTCTTAAGGCCTCTGGCAAGTAAGAGATGAAAAGAAAGCCACAGCTACAAAATTATCACAGAGAAGATCGAAGTAGAAACAAACAGAACTGGTGACACTAAAACTGTATTCAACATTTAATTCAAATGGAAAGGCTGGCTCGTACCCTGACACTCATATGTACCAAAAGGTTTCAAAAGTTCTATTGCCATTTTTAAAAAAAAATTCCATCTCATGTGCTAGGTTCCACATGTGAAAACCATATTACTTACAGCTGAAGAGATTTTGAGGAGAATGCAATATTTTAATCAAGCATACACCAAGGCTTCTCTCTTCAGAAAACCCAGCAGGTTAGCGATTTGGGGATTTAAGTAGTACAACAAAAAACAGGTATGAAATTTTAACAGATATAGACACCCGCGAGCAAGGTCTGCTCAGCAAAACTGCAGCAGCAGCACAGAGTGGGTATTGGAAGAAGAAACGACGAGCGCTCGTGGTGGGTGACTCTCTGTTTAAAGGCACTGAGAGGCCCATCTGCCGACCTGGCGGACTCATGGGACATGTGCTGCCTTCCAGGAGCTAAGATCTGAGATGCAGCTAAGAGGGTGCCACAGCTTGTTAAGAGCATGGACTACCATCCGCTGTTACTCTTCCATGTGGGCATGAATGATGCTGGAAGTAACAACCTGGGTAGAATGAAGGAAGACTATAAAGCCCTAGGGTTGAAAGTGAAAAATTCTGGTGCCCAAGTTACCTTTTCCTCTATTTTGCCAGTTGGAGGAAAGCATGCAGCCACAAACCGACCAATAATGCACATCAACTTCTGGTTACAGGGCTGGTGCCATCACGAGGGTTTTGGGTTTTGTGACAACAGGACATTTTTTGACCATAACCTGTTAGGAAGGGATGGAATCCACCTGTCTGGAAGGGGCAAGGGTATCTTTGGCAACAGGCTGGCCAACTTGGTGAGATGGGCTTTAAACTGGAGGACTTGGGGTGGAATCCAAAGTGGCAATGCCATCGTATCCAACGGGGCAATAAGCTAGGTCAAGCAGAGCAACAAGTGTTCCTTAGCTCCCTCCCCAGACGAGAACCAGGACAATTGCCTCAAGAGTGTGTACGGCTATGGTGGGTCCTCCTCCATCCCTCCAGGGAAACCTGCATGCTCTCCGAAATGCCTGTACGCCAACGCATGCAGCATGGGGAGCGAACAGGAAGAGCTAGAGACCTGTGCGCGGTCACAGGACCACGGTCTCAGTGCAGTCACAGAGACACGGTGGGATAGCTCGCATGGGCGGAATGCTGTCATGGCGGGCTACGTACTCTTCAGGGAAGACAGGCCAACTAGGTGAGGTGGGGGAGTTGCTCTTCATGTGTGAGAAAACCTGGAACGTATCGAGCTCTGCCTAGGGAGGGATGAAGAACGAGTCAAGAGCTTATGGGTAAGACTTAAGGGGCAGGCTAACTCGGGTGACACTGTTGTGGGTGTTTACTACAGGCCACCTGATCAGGGAGAGGAGGCAGACAAAGCCTTCTACAGCCAGCTGAAAGCAGCCTCACAATAACAGGCCCTGGTTCTCATGGGGAACTTCAACTACCCTGATATTTACTGGAGAAGCAACACAGCCAGACACCCCACAGTCCAAGGGGTTCCTGCAGAGTATTGATGATAACTTTTTGAAACAGGTGGTGGATGAACCAATGAGAGGTGAGCTGCTGGACCTTGTGCTAACAAAGAAAGATGGACTGGTTGGAGATGAAGGGTGGGAGCAGCCTTGGCTGTAGTGACCATGCAATGGTGGAGTTCAGGATCCTGCTTGGAAGAGGCAGGGCAGTAAGTAGGATTGCAACCCTGGACTTGAAAAAGAGCTAAATTATCCTCTTCAAAGACCTACTTGGAGGAATCCCATGGGCCAGGATTCTAGAAGGCAGGAGGGCTCCAAGAGAGCTGGTTGCTATTCAAACACTACTTCGTCCAAGCCCAAAACCGATGCATCCCTACAAGGAAGAAATCAAGCAAAGGACGAGCAAGAAGCTTCTGGAAAAACTCAAAGGGAAGAAAAAAGTTTACAACATGTGGAAAACATGGCTAGCTACTTGGGAGGAATATAGAAATGTTGTCAGAGTATGCAGGGATGCAACAAGGCTAAGGCCCACTTGGAATTAAGTCTGGCTAGGGATGCTGAAGACAAGAAGGCCTTCTTCAAATACACTGGTAGCAAAAGGAAGACCAGAAAAAATGTGGACCTGCTGCTGAATGAGGTGGGTGCCCTAGTGACGGAGGATACAGAGAACGTGGAGTTACTGAATGCCTTCTTTGCCTCAACCTTTACTGCTAATGCTGGCCCTCAGGTATCCCAGATCCTGGGGGTAGGGGAAGAAGTCTAGAGAAAGGAAGACTACCCCTTGGTCAAGGAGGATTGGATTTTAGGCAAACTGGACACTCGCAAATCCATGGCCCCAAGGGGACGCACCCATGAGTGTTGAGGGAGCCAGCAGATGCAGTTGCTAAGCCACTCTCCATCATCTTTGAAAGGTCATAGAGAAGAGGAAAGGTGCCTGAGGACTGGAGGAAAGCCAATGTCACTCCAGTCTTCAAAAAGGGCAAGAAGGAAGACCTGGGAAACATTGGCCAAGGCAGCCATGGTCTCCTAGGGTGCAGTAAAAAGAGTGTGGCCAGCAGGTTGAGGGAGGTCATCCTGCCCTCTACTCTGCCCTGGTGAGGCCACATCTGCAGTACTGTGTGCAGTTCTGGGCCCCCAGTTCAAGAGGGACAGGGAACTACTGGAGAGAGTCCAGCAGAGGGCTACGAAGACAATGAGGGGACTGGAGCATCTCTCTTATGGTGAAAGGCTGAGAGACCTGGGGCTCTTCAGGCTGGAGAAGACTGAGAGGGGACCTCATCAATGCTTATAAATATCTAAAGGGCAGGTGTCAAGAGGCTGGGGCCAGGATCTTTTCAGTGGTGCCCAGTGACAGGACAAGGGGCAATGGGCACAAACTGGAGCACAGGAAATTCTACCTGAACATGAGGACAAACTTTACTTTGAGGGTGGCAGAGCAGAGGAACAGGCCGCCCAGGGAGGCTGTGGAGTCGTCGTCCCTGGAGATATTCAAAACCCCTCTGGACAGGATCCTGTGTGACCTGCTCTAGGTGACACTGCTTTAGCAGGGGGGTTGGACTAGATGATCTCTAGAGGTCCCTTCCAAGTCCTACCCATTCTGTGATTCTCCAACATACACTTTAGGTTGCACGGACTCTGAAGCAGGAAATCTGGGCAAAAATTTATTCTAATACACGTGACACAACACAAACCATCAAGTTAGTCTTATAACCTCTATTCAGTGTTTAACATTAATTAAAATTAAAGTTAGCCTTTTATTAACAGTGAAACACTGCAATCAGTATTTGGAAAGCATCCCACAAAACTGCTGAAGCGATTATTTTCACTCACAAAACCCAAGGTAGTATTGCTCTGTCATTTCTGTAATGAAAATATTTACCACAGTAACAAAAAACTCTCTATAAAAATATTTTTAAACACAAGTTTCACTATCATTGATTACACTCACATTACAGAAATTTAAAAAAAAACATTACCATTTAATGAAAAATACAAAAAACTAAGTGGTTCAAGGATGGAAAACCAAGTCTTAATATCAGAGGTGGATCTGCCAAGGTGGTATCTTCTATCCACTGTGGACTGTATTATTGTACCTGAGGGCTCCCCAATTCCCCTGGTGCTGCTTCTTGCCAATTACATACTGCATTTTTATATTCTTCATCCAGCATCACGCAGCTTCAATAATTCCTCTACAAAATACTAGTCTGCCAACAGGGCTGTCCAAGAGCAACACCCAGAGGCTAAATATGTTGCTACAGCGACTCTGCACATTTTGGCCTGTTTCTTTCTCAGAAGAAAGGAAAATCTTCATAAAGATAAGCAACAATTTCCTGTAAAATAAAGAGCTGACAAAACTCTTTGAATGGTAACGTTAACAGCAAAGTGTTGCATGCAAACAAACCCGCTCGTGAAAAATCATACCTTCGTAGCTATTGCAAACAACCTTTAAGAACAGATGATACACACACGCACTTATGTAGAGCAAATAAGCAGTAGTTTTTGTAAATGTGTGTGTACAGTATTTTGGTTCCACTGCAAAGGAACAACTAGAAGGATGCCTGCTCTCTAGAAAGCCAATTGTATTTTTCAAATGCAGAAAGACAAAAAAAGAGGCAGGCTGCTTTCCATTTCCTTTACCAGCTGTCAAAGCAGTACTTTATTTATTTATTTAAATCTTGAAGGCAGTTGCTGTAGGAACAACTTGTCTATGCAATCACAAAAAAAAACTCCAGCAAAAAGGTAATAACCTGTTCCTCTTAAAGATGCTCTAGGGTATCTGGAATCACAACAAGAAGAGAGATAGACAACTGGATACAAAAACAATTCACTAAAGCTTCATCTTGAAGACCTCTGGCATCAAACACTACTATTCTCTGTAAATTTAAAGCCTACATAACGGACAAAGAAAAAGGCTGACAAACCAAGAACACAAACAGTAACACCACACTTACACCCCCAAATGGTTACTTAGAATAAAATGTACTCAAAAGAAAATAAACACAAACAGTAACACCACACTTACACCCCCGAATGGTTATTTAGAATAAAATGTACTCAAAAGAAAATGCATTGAAGATTATGTAATCACAAAATACAACTGCAGCTACCAAACCTTTTCTATTTTGAGATTTCAGGTCAGGACAATGAGTTCAAAACCAGAAGTCTCAATCAAACATCTGATGGAAGAGTTCCTCATCTATTCAGTATGGTTTGCTCCATTCTCCTCAGTGGACTGCTTTCTCCCCCCCCACCCCCTCAACTGTCTTCTCAGAATCATGTTCTTCAGGTGGCTCATGCTCTTCACCTGGTTCTGGTGAAACCGGAATCACATCAACTAGGAGGAAGCAATCATCCCTCAGCACCTGCTCAGCTGTCAGTCTGTTACAGGAGAATAAATTCAGGAGAAGAGATTTAACTTTATCATCCTGCAAACAGAGGGAGAAGGACTTCATCAGCAAGCAAAACAAACGAGATTACAAGTAACAACCAACTGTTTGATGAACACACCTTGTAAGCGCTTAGGGCCCAAAGCCCTCACAAAAGGTGGTACCACAGCATTCCTACTGGTTAGCAGCACTTGACAGTCATAGTGCCCATTAACAACATAAAAAGCAAGTGTTCAGCACCAGGTCTGTCAACGTGGTGCCAGCAAACTGCACAGAGGAGCGTGAGTTATTATCATATTTCAAAATATCAGTTCACTGAATTACTATAAATTAGAGAAATACTGAAGTTGGTTTTTCTACTGAGAAGGAACAGAACAGGTGCCATTCACCTTCTACAACTTCATCTTTTGTTATGTTGCTTTGTCTCTCTACAAGAGCACAGGAAAGAAAAAGAAAACCAAAGTAACAGGCCCTAAATCAACAGCACCTATTTCGCTATTAACCCACCACTTACACTTAGGGGCTTCGGATTTATCAGAAGGGATTACGTGCCTAAATGCTGAGCACATTACCAACGCCAGACTCCATAAACAAAACATAAAAACACAGCTGCTACACATATACATAAACATCAGCTGTTGAGGAAGTGCACACACTGGATTTGGACACAGGGACAGCAAGAAAGACAGTCTGAAATGCTGATCTGGAGATCCAGATTACCAAAACTCAGCGCGAGCAGAATCTTTCCATGAGAGGGCTTGCTTGTTCACAGTCTCCAAGCCAGCAACACCTACGACCAGGGTTGATAAAGCAACAAAGCACAAGATACCTGTACACCTCTCACCTATCCCCATTTCACCCAGACAGAAGAATCAATGCGATGCAAAGGAATGTACACAAGTAGTCAAAGACGACAAAACCAAGAGACAATTTCCAACTCTTCCACTAATACCCAAGTGACTTTGGGGAATTAGCCACTTCCCAAATCATCCGAGATCTGGGTGAAAAGATGAAATCTGAAAACAGTTGATCTTACAGGTAAAAAAGATTGTTAAATGTTTGTAAAACATTTTAAAAGCTTAAAGGAAAAATCTAGTTAAGAAGATCCAAACATATGCAATGAAACACAGGAGTGAACCATAACTACACAAAATTAAACGTGAAGAAAGTTTGAGCATTTAAAGAGCTTGCAAAGCTTTGTACTTGTGTATTTTCATTTCACGATACTCCCAAATGTCTGTCAACCACAAATGAGCCCTTCTCACCATCTTCTCGCCCTACGGAAACTGAAAATTGATTCCACAAGGAATACTGCTGTAGTGCAACATTTCATCATCTTTACTCCATTTCATTGTGCTTGCTCTTATTTACTTTTTTTTTTTAATATGCAAAACTGGATGCTGAAACACATTGAACAATGAAGCCTGGCATGGCTAAATGAGTGACTGCAATATCTTATCTCTAAACTTTGCTCTTCTTCAACATTAATATCCCTGTTTTAAGGTTTAAATTTGTTTTCCTGTGGCAATTTTACATTTGCTGAAAACAACAAAAATTTTACTAGTTTCAAGTGTGCAATTCCTCTGGGCACAAGACTGAGATGGAAGGGAAATTACCAGCCTGTCAAGAGCCTGCAGATGGACATGGAGATTAATTCTGAATAAGCTGATTATAGATAAAGCACTTAAAAGCAAAATAGATTTTCCCCAAGAACTGGGACAAGGATTAACAGCCAGAGGTCTAAAAGATTCCCCAAGAAACAGCTGAAAGATATTTATTAGTACTACATTTCTCAGTAAAACCCTCCTGTGTGTTCCTGTGCGCTGCAGGCAGCACAGATGGCTCTCCAGCAGGCTTTGGTGGTTGGTGCACGTGCATGCACACGCATCCAGGATGAATCCGTAAAAACTGCCGACAATGATATATTGATTAGGATTCTATCGCCTGACAAGGTCAAAATCAAATGCTGGTTCTTTTCATCAGTGAAAAAGATTAAGGAAACTTGCTCTTATTAAAAGCTGCAAAATTAATTAATCTCTGCTAAGAACAATAATAGCGAAATTCATCAATTGTCTTTGAGATAAAGGCAGCTGTTTGCACTTCAGAAAATACCTGCTAGAGAAGAACACAGAATTATAATACCTTGACCCTGGCCATTTAAACTTTGATTTGCGTATTTCAGACCTTATTTGTAAAACATTACCACAGCGGAAATTTTATGGAAAACAGAAGTGAACCAACTCTTATTTTCAATGTCCCAAGAAATCTTTTCTACTTCCTTGAACAATCAAGTTTCTCTTATGCAGGAAAGAAAGTTAGGTTTTTCAGTATCTAAGGATTATTACGCATAACACTGAATGATGCACTGGGCAGACAGTTCTGCACAAGTTTTGTGGAATACATTTAAAACCTCCTAGTTAGCCCTAAGGGTGAATCATGAAGTACTGAACTTTCTTTCCTATAGTATTGTGTGTTTCATGAGATTCACCTAATTTTTAGTAAGAAACCAAACAACCATAATGAGAATAAGAAATAGTATTTACAAGATCACTTCCCTACTCAAATGCTGCATGTTTTACTCTTTCATAGTAGTTTCACACTGGAAATAATTTTGCAGAGGAATTTGGTAGATGGTCCTGTGCTTTATCATCAGTAATGTTTTCATCACTGGAGAACACCGTTGAAATGAAGTTATTAAAAAACACACTGTAGAGGATAAAAGTCATCTAATAAAACAAGATTATTTACAGTACTGTGTTACGCTGTGATACACAAGCCACCCTGCCTGGACACTGGCACCACCAGAGCAGCGTTAGTCTGGTACTGTATCCTGACAGTTTCTTAACCTAAATACAGTAAAGATGACACAGTAAGCTCATAATGAGCACAACTCTAGTACTTTAGCTCCATGCTTTCATTGTTATCTCTGCAAAGCAGGCAAATCATTAATACATAAGTATAACCAATAAAGAGGGATTTATTATTTGGGTTTCTTTTTCCCTTGACAAAACAACCCAAATTTATCTGACCAACAGCAACTCCACTGCTTTGTTTTCTACTTTTCCATTTAAAGTATTTTCCTACCTTTCTGGAAAATAGGAGGATTAACCTCCAACTCCTCCCCATATTCTTTACAAAATTCTATCCATAACCTATGACTTCACTTAAAAGCTAAACAGTCACCTGCTTGCAGGTTTTTTTCGTAACAGTACAAGGCTCGATTCAAGGAGTTTCACGGCCTTCTCAAATCTAGACAGAGCAGTAAGCTCTCACTTGGAGTAAGATCAACAGAATAAGCATGATATGAGAAGGAGTCCACACATATTAAATAAATATACGAGCTATCAAATCAAGGGAGATGGGAGGGACACAGGACAAGAACAAAGCAGCAACTAGATGGGCAGAAGTACACTAAAAAGTATGAAGCAGAAACTAGTCTGGGAAGGCTTGTGATCTGAAAAAGGTCCATAAACCTCCCAGTGAATGTCTTTAAACTATATATGGTGGCATGTCTTCTGTTATTCCAACTTTTATAAGGAGGAAAAGGAATCACCTGTAGCAAAGGCAGAAGAGGTTGAAAGCGGGCAAG